GGTCGACTAACCCACCATATCCCTCACACCCCAGTGTCACGTCGGCTAACCCACCATATCCCTCACACCCCAGTGTCACGTGGGCTAACCTACCAAATGTCTCACATCCCAGTGTCAGGTCGACTAACCTACGAAATCCGTAACAACCCAGTGTCAGGTCGACTAACCTACCAAATGCCTCACTGCCGAGAGTCAGGTCGACTAACCTACCAAATCCCTCACATCCAAGTGTCAGGTTTACGAACCTACCAAATCCCTCATACCCCAGTGTCAGGTCGACTAGCCTACCAAATGCCTCACATCCCAGTGTCAGGTCGACGAACCTACCAAATGCCTAACAACCCAGTGTCAGGTCGGCTAACCTACCAAATACAGCACATCGAAGTGTCAGGTCCACTAACCTACCAAATGGCTAAGATCCAAGTGTAAGGTAGAATAACCTACCAAATCCCTAACAACCCAGAGTCAGGTCGACTAACCTACCAAATGCCTCACATCCCAGTGTCAGGTCGACTAGCCTACAAAATCCCTAACAACCCAGTGTCACGTCGGCTAACCTACCAAATGCCTCACACCCCAGTGTCACGTCGACTAACCCACCATATCCCTCACACCCCAGTGTCACGTCGGCTAACCTACCAAATGCCTCACACCCCAGTGTCATGTCGACTAACCCGCCATATCCCTCACACCCAAGTGTCACGTCGGCTAACCTACCAAACGCCTCACACCATAGTGTCACGTCGGCTAACTACTAAATCCCTCACACCCCAGTGTCACGTCGGCTAACCCACCAAATCCCTCACACCCCAGTGTCACATTGACTAACCTACCAAACGCCTCACACCCCAGTGTCACGTCGGCTAACCTATGAAATCCCTCACTGCCGAGAGTCAGGTCGACTAACCTACCAAATGCCTCACACCCCAGTGTCACATTGACTAACCTACCAAATGCCTCACAACCCAGTGTCAGGTCGACTAACCTACCAAATGATTCACATCCAAGTGTCACGTCGGCTAACCTACCAAACGCCTCACAACCCAGTGCCAGGTCGACTAACCTACCAAATGCCTCACACCCCAGTGTCACGTCGGCTAACCCACCAAATGCCTCACAACCCAGTGTCACGTCGGCTAACCTACCAAATGCCTCACAACCCAGTGTCAGGTCGACTAACCTACCAAACGCCTCACATCCAAGTGTCAGGTTTACGAACCTACCGAATCCCTAACACCCCAGTGTCACGTCGACTAACCCACCATATCCCTCACACCCCAGTGTCACGTCGGCTAACCCACCATATCCCTCACACCCCAGTGTCACGTGGGCTAACCTACCAAACGCCTCACACCCCAGTGTCACGTCGGCTAGCCTACCAAATGCCTCACACCCCAGTGCCAGGTCGACTAACCCACCATATCCCTCACAACCCAGTGTCACGTCGACTAACCTACGAAATCCCTAACAACCCAGTGTCAGGTCGACTAACCTACCAAATGCCTCACTGCCGAGAGTCAGGTCGACTAACCTACCAAATCCTTCACATCCAAGTGTCAGGTTTACGAACCTACCAAATCCCTCACACCCCAGTGTCAGGTCGACTAGCCTACCAAATGCCTCACATCCCAGTGTCAGGTCGACGAACCTACCAAATGCCTAACAACCCAGTGTCAGGTCGGCTAACCTACCAAATACAGCACATCAAAGTGTCAGGTCCACTAACCTACCAAATGCTTAAGATCCAAGTGTAAGGTCGAATAACCTACCAAATCCCTAACAACCCAGTCAGGTCGACTAACCTACCAAACGCCTCACATCCAAGTGTCAGGTTTACGAACCTACCGAATCCCTCACACCCCAGTGTCACGTCGACTAACCCACCATATCCCTCACACCCCAGTGTCACGTCGGCTAACCCACCATATCCCTCACACCCCAGTGTCACGTGGGCTAACCTACCAAACCCCTCACACCCCAGTGTCACGTCGGCTAGCCTACCAAATGCCTCACACCCCAGTGCCAGGTCGACTAACCCACCATATCCCTCACAACCCAGTGTCACGTCGACTAACCTACGAAATCCCTAACAACCCAGTGTCAGGTCGACTAACCTACCAAATGCCTCACTGCCGAGAGTCAGGTCGACTAACCTACCAAATCCCTCACATCCAAGTGTCAGGTTTACGAACCTACCAAATCCCTCACACCCCAGTGTCAGGTCGACTAGCCTACCAAATGCCTCACATCTAAGTGTCACGTCGGCTAAACTACCAAACGCCTCACAACCCAGTGCCAGGTCGACTAACCTACCAAATGCCTCACACCCCAGTGTCACGTCGGCTAACCCACCAAATGCCTCACAACCCAGTGTCACATCGGCTAACCTACCAAATGCCTCACACCCCAGTGTCAGGTCGGCTAACCCACCAAACGCCTCACATCCAAGTGTCACGTCGGCTAAACTACCAAACGCCTCACAACCCAGTGCCAGGTCGACTAACCTACCAAATGCCTCACACCCCAGTGTCACGTCGGCTAACCCACCAAATGCCTCACAACCCAGTGTCACGTCGACTAACCTACGAAATCCCTAACAACCCAGTGTCAGGTCGACTAACCTACCAAATGCCTCACTGCCGAGAGTCAGGTCGACTAACCTACCAAATCCCTCACATCCAAGTGTCAGGTTTACGAACCTACCAAATCCCTCACACCCCAGTGTCAGGTCGACTAGCCTACCAAATGCCTCACATCCCAGTGTCAGGTCGACGAACCTACCAAATGCCTAACAACCCAGTGTCAGGTCGGCTAACCTACCAAATACAGCACATCAAAGTGTCAGGTCCACTAACCTACCAAATGCCTAAGATCCAAGTGTAAGGTCGAATAACCTACCAAATCCCTAACAACCCAGTCAGGTCGACTAACCTACCAAATGCCTCACATCCTAGTGTCAGGTCGACTAGCCTACGAAATCCCTAACAACCCAGTGTCACGTCGGCTAACCTACCAAATGCCTCACACCCCAGTGTCACGTCGACTAACCCACCATATCCCTCACACCCCAGTGTCACGTCGGCTAACCCACCAAATGCCTCACAACCCAGTGTCACGTCGACTAACCTACGAAATCCCTAACAACCCAGTGTCAGGTCGACTAACCTACCAAATGCCTCACTGCCGAGAGTCAGGTCGACTAACCTACCAAATCCCTCACATCCAAGTGTCAGGTTTACGAACCTACCAAATCCCTCACACCCCAGTGTCAGGTCGACTAGCCTACCAAATGCCTCACATCTAAGTGTCACGTCGGCTAAACTACCAAACGCCTCACAACCCAGTGCCAGGTCGACTAACCTACCAAATGCCTCACACCCCAGTGTCACGTCGGCTAACCCACCAAATGCCTCACAACCCAGTGTCACATCGGCTAACCTACCAAATGCCTCACACCCCAGTGTCAGGTCGGCTAACCCACCAAACGCCTCACATCCAAGTGTCACGTCGGCTAAACTACCAAACGCCTCACAACCCAGTGCCAGGTCGACTAACCTACCAAATGCCTCACACCCCAGTGTCACGTCGGCTAACCCACCAAATGCCTCACAACCCAGTGTCACGTCGACTAACCTACGAAATCCCTAACAACCCAGTGTCAGGTCGACTAACCTACCAAATGCCTCACTGCCGAGAGTCAGGTCGACTAACCTACCAAATCCCTCACATCCAAGTGTCAGGTTTACGAACCTACCAAATCCCTCACACCCCAGTGTCAGGTCGACTAGCCTACCAAATGCCTCACATCCCAGTGTCAGGTCGACGAACCTACCAAATGCCTAACAACCCAGTGTCAGGTCGGCTAACCTACCAAATACAGCACATCAAAGTGTCAGGTCCACTAACCTACCAAATGCCTAAGATCCAAGTGTAAGGTCGAATAACCTACCAAATCCCTAACAACCCAGTCAGGTCGACTAACCTACCAAATGCCTCACATCCTAGTGTCAGGTCGACTAGCCTACGAAATCCCTAACAACCCAGTGTCACGTCGGCTAACCTACCAAATGCCTCACACCCCAGTGTCACGTCGACTAACCCACCATATCCCTCACACCCCAGTGTCACGTCGGCTAACCCACCAAATGCCTCACAACCCAGTGTCACGTCGACTAACCTACGAAATCCCTAACAACCCAGTGTCAGGTCGACTAACCTACCAAATGCCTCACTGCCGAGAGTCAGGTCGACTAACCTACCAAATCCCTCACATCCAAGTGTCAGGTTTACGAACCTACCAAATCCCTCACACCCCAGTGTCAGGTCGACTAGCCTACCAAATGCCTCACATCTAAGTGTCACGTCGGCTAAACTACCAAACGCCTCACAACCCAGTGCCAGGTCGACTAACCTACCAAATGCCTCACACCCCAGTGTCACGTCGGCTAACCCACCAAATGCCTCACAACCCAGTGTCACATCGGCTAACCTACCAAATGCCTCACACCCCAGTGTCACGTCGGCTAACCCACCAAACGCGTCACATCCAAGTGTCACGTCGGCTAAACTACCAAACGCCTCACAACCCAGTGCCAGGTCGACTAACCTACCAAATGCCTCACACCCCAGTGTCACGTCGGCTAACCTATGAAATCCCTCACTGCCGAGAGTCAGGTCGACTAACCTACCAAATGCCTCACACCCCAGTGTCCCATTGACTAACCTACCAAATGCCTCACAACCCAGTGTCAGGTCGACTTACCTACCAAATGCCTCACATCCAAGTGTCACGTCGGCTAAACTACCAAACGCCTCACAACCCAGTGCCAGGTCGACTAACCTACCAAATGCCTCACACCCCAGTGTCACGTCGGCTAACCCACCAAATGCCTCACAACCCAGTGTCACGTCGGCTAACCTACCAAATGCCTCACAACCCAGTGTCAGGTCGACTAACCTACCAAACGCCTCACATCCAAGTTTCAGGTTGATGAACCTACCAAACGCCTCACTGCCCAGTTTCAGGTTGGGTTCTACATCAGAAATGATGGAGGTGAACTCCTCTGTCAAGTTGGAGTTCTGTTTCTGGATGTAGTACACCTCGGCAGAGTTGTCCCCCTTATCGAGATGATCAAGGAACTCCGACATCGTCATCCGTTGTTCCTCGGGCATCACAAACTTCCCCTCTGTCACAGCGTCGGCGTAGCCATTGGGCGTCGCCGTGACCGTCACTTCCAGCTCCCCAATTGTCTTCCTTTGATCACACAAACACAATTACATATAGCCTGTTGTCAGTGCAAGAAATTATTTCATTAATGTAAATCGAGTCATTAACCTTTAACGGAGCCATATAAATACACAGGAAAATTAAAAATTAAAATTCTAACGTGAAAAGAATGTGATTTCTTCAAATGTCAACTGTGCTACTTCATCTTGCTAATTACTGTCTTTGCAGTATTAATGGCTTCCTTTGCGCTGGCTCGAGATGCCGCCTACCTGAAATAATCGGGTGACCACTTGGACAGGGCTGGCCAGTGGTCAGTGAGGCCTCTGATCAGGACAGGCTTGTTGGGAGCCACATACTGTCGATAGAAGGTCAGCGGTGTTGGCGGCGAGGTCAGCAGTGGGACTTCACTGTCCAAGTACAACTCTGGAAATGGAGGAGGTGGGGAGAAATTTGGTTTTAGGGTGTTCAAGATTATTGCATTTACATAACAAGTGCATGCACGTCCGAGTGTTCCTGCTTGTACTAGTCCTGACCATGAGTACTATCTTCAGCAACTCTGTCATTACATCTCTCGTTTGTAGGTTTGTTGTTTGATGCCGCACTCAGCAATATTCCAGCTATATGACGGCGGTCTGTAAATAAACTGTCTGAACCATGCAATCCAGTGATTGACATCATGAGCATTGATCTACGCATTTGGGATACAATGACACGCATCCACCAAGTCCGCAAGCCTGACCACCTGATCCCGTTATTCACCTCTTACAACAAGCATAGTTGTCTGTAGGTACAATGTGCATGAACTGTCTTGGGTCAGTTGTGCATGAACTGTCTTGGGTCACTGTGCATGAACTGTCTTGGGTCAGTGTGCATGAACTGTCTTGGGTCAGTGTCACGTGTTATGTTGGAACTCATAGAACCTAAACGACCGCAGGAAGAACTCAGGTGCAAAAATGCAGTTTAACGGGTGCAGGCCGAGCTCTACCATGTTGCTCAATTACTGTGCTATAGCGCGACCGCTGTCTCGCTATACTGTTATCGTGGCTCACGCTCCAGCGACTCTCACTTCACGATCTAACACCCCTTTTCGGTCTTAGGGAAACTTACATGTCTTTACAATCCAACACCCCTCTTTACGATCCAACACCCCTCTTTACGATCCAACACCCCTTTTCAGTCTTAGGAAAACTAACACGTCTTTACGATCCAAAACCCCTTTTCGATTTTAGGGAAACTTACACATCTTTACGATCCAACATCCCTTTTCGATCCTCCGGGTTATCTTGCTTAGGGCAAGGGTAGGCCATAAATTCTTACCTTTTCAAGCAGTAATCTGGTTAATCCGATTGGTCGGTCATGTTGACATAAACAATGGCGGGTGTGGTTTCAAGAAAAAATTAATGGGAGGGCGGACTCTGACGTCACACGCATGTGCAAGTCATTGTTTACTTAAATGTGCATGTGTGTTAATGGGGTGCTAATGATCCGTTAAACGAGCACTGATTACATGTGATAGCGCTCGTGGTCTAGTAGAGTGTCGGCCAATTAACACACTAATTACCCAAGCCGGAGAGCTGCGTTCGAGCCCCCACAGTGCTAATTGAATCTGAAAAAGTGCGCCCGGTAAAGTCACAGGAACTCGTTATTGGTCAGTAAATAAAAATATATACCCCCTATCTCTACTAACATATAGGGGGTATATATTTTTATTTACTGACCAATAACGAGTTCCTGTGGGTAAAGTGCACTACTTTAAGGTCAACACACATACTTATTCATCATGGTGATGTTGCAGTCATAATATTACGTCATGTCCAGAGTACAGGACTGATCGCAGGACCTAGCATGAGCTGGGGAAAATCATTTACTGTAATAATAATAATAATAATAATAATAATAATAATAATGTATACACAAATTAACACTACAGGCAGCTTTGTAATTACAGCTCTCGTTTGTATGTACAATGTTAACTATCTCTGCCACTGCACCAGCTGTAGCAGGTTCCAGTTCTCATTTACAAACTATCTCATGTCTCGGAAAGCAATCCTTTTATTAGCTCAACTGTAGAAGGCGAAACTCACAACTGATTTTGGGTTATTATGATAGTAATCACTGGGGCTATTATCTCGTGATCACTTCATATATGGTCGAGAAATGATACAGAAATCACGATTGATTGCGTCCAATGACTAGCCAACAGTTCTACAGTACATAATTAAGAAGGCTACAAAGTACAATGCATGGGCGTTACCTCTCGCCTCGCTGGCCAAATACAGAAACTGTTGTTTGATCGCGGCTGTCAAATCTTCAGGCTCGTCCTCCGACATCTTGCTGTCATATTCAGTCGACAGTTTCACTCTAGGAGCAGGAACCACACTGAACCAAGCCTACCTCATCAACATTTGTTGACATCAGGCACGTGTTCCGTTCTTACCGGAAGTTTATAAGGTTGTTTCTAAAATGCTGATTTACCTAACGAAACGAAATTTGTATTGAGTCTATTTCATTCGTGACCAACTCGCTCCGGGACAAGATACTTGTAGATTACGAGTGGGGACAAAAGGAGCAGACTTCCCTTTTTACCAGTTTGATGGAATCACCTAATTGTTCCTGTAACAGAAACACGAAAAGTGATATGCAGAATGCAGATCTCTACTAACAAAGAGAATTGCCTTCAAAATCTTATCTGCATAAAAAACATGATTTATTCAAATGGAAAAAATGCCCCATTTGCATTTTTAAATACGAAACGTCGCATGGTTATAGCTTAAACTGACGTTTATATATATCCTAGAAATAAAGTGATCTTATTTAAACATTTCAATCTACAAAATAAAAAAAGATTTAAAAAATCCAGATGGAGCCCAGAACAATCGTTATTTTCTTAAGTGGTATGTTTCAAGTTTTCTTTTGTCATTACTCTTTCTGGACATATAATAAAACCAAGTTACTGATACACTGTCGTCGTTATCTAACTGATTCACGTTAACTGAAGATTATTTATTATACACCCTTGAGTCCACAGATAGTATGCCGAGAAGACCACACAGCAAGTACACCAAATAGATCACATAAGTACACCTAGTAGACCACACAAGTACACCTAGTAGACCACACAAGCACACCTAGTAGACCACACAAGTACACCTGGTAGACAACACAAGTACACCTGGTAGACCACACAGGTACACCTGGTAGATCACATAAGTACACCTAGTAGACCACACAAGTACACCTAGTAGACCACACAAGTACACCTAGTAGATCACATAAGTACACCTGGTAGACCACACAAGTACACCTAGTAGACCACACAAGTACACCTAGAAGACCACACAAGTACACCTAGTAGACCACACAAGTACACCTAGTAGACCACACAAGTACACCTGGTAGATCACACAAGTACACCTGGTAGACAACACAAGTACACCTGGTAGACCACACAGGTACACCTGGTAGATCACATAAGTACACCTAGTAGACCACACAAGTACACCTAGTAGACCACACAAATACACCTAGTAGACCACACAAGTACACCTAGTAGACCACACAACTACACCTAGTAGACCACACAAGTACACCTAGTAGACCACACAAGCACACCTGGTAGACCTCACAAGTACACAGTGTTCAACTGTAGAAAGTAACGAGACTCGTGTTCAACTGTACAAAGTGACAAAGCCCTTGTTCAACTGTACAAAGTGACGAGACTCGTGTTCAACTGTACAAAATGTCAAAGCCCTTGTCAAAGTCACCAGATCCTTGTTCAACTATACGAAGTGACGAGGCCTTTCCGCGTCAACTAGCAACAGTAGGTACTGAATTAAGAACCTGCATGTACAACTTAACGTTTACTGAAACCTACGTTATCAACACACCACAAAACTAAAATAATAGTTATAGCCTTTATTAACCTTTTATGTAATAGACATCATCGAAACATCATAAATGCAAACAATAAACCTCATTTTGTCAAAACATCAGTTGTGTAAGAGTCAGGGGTTTACTGTGTACATAGTGGTCAAAGAACACTGATCTTGTCTTCCAACGACCCATGCGCATAATTGTATCTGGTTCAAACCCCATGTCTATAGTCTTAGTCGCCCCCGTCGGCCTAGAAGATTTAGTTGTATAACATCCACCTAAACCTGTTAATCTGATTGCTTCGTTTAATATCGAACCGACTGTAGCAGCAGTTATTGCCTTGTAAGGTCGTTGCAGTGTTAGAAATACTGGCATATCCTGTTTGGGCCTAACACCATTTGTCCGTTCTATGTACACTTTAAGAGCTTCAACTGGGTTAACTTTTCTCTCTGATCCTGGTGTGAGATGTACCTTGAATCCTGACCTGTCAGTGTCATTCTTTATACCATGCAACCATATGGTTGCGCTATCATCATCATGGAAAAGTACATCATCAGTTGAAAATACCACTGCTTTTTTCACATTGTCATTGGGATCAAACACAACGCCTTTAGGGTCTATGTCCGAGTGTCTCAACATTAATGTTAAAGACAACAATACAATAACCTTTAACCTTAACAATTTAAGCTGTAGATGCAGTTTGTTTGGCCATTGACGAAATAAATTGATAAACGGTTCCACAGGCATGATCTTTGTCCGTTTACGGGTTGTAGAGTATTAGATTTAATCAATGCTTTGGTCATCATATTGACTTCGTAATTGTCCAAAACTGACTACTCGTTCGCACATTTGAACAAGTGAGTGAGAGCAGCGACTGTTGTCTTTATTTTAGATAATTGTTCAGATGAATTATCAGCTATTGAGCACAAATAGTCAACTATAGTTATTTCATCACACCTCGGAAATCACCGTTCATTATCATGACAAAATTGTTGTAGTTTCTGAATAGCTCCGTTGTACACTTTAAGAGTGCTAGGTGCCAGACAAAGTGGTAGTTGACTTATGGCCCTGTCTGACCAACCTTTTTGTTCTAGATTCCGTCTCCACAAACTCTCCAGGCGTATAGGCGCCATTTGTGATTTCTCAAAGGTTCCACCTTGCACGTTGAACTTAGAATTGTCCAGGAATTCGAATTGGGGAACAGGTCAATATCGTTCTCAGTTTGTGAAACCACGGTCTGTTTCTCCACGCAGGTGCTATGCTAGTCGCGATTGCTTTTTCCTGGACGACCTTGTCTATGACCTCTGGTAATAGACGGAAGGGCAGATTCACAAAGTTGTTGTGAATCCCCCAGTTTGCTTGAGACAAAGCGTCCACCCCTGAACTGCCCGGGTCCCAAAATCGACTGTTGTATGTTCCTAGCTGAGCATTTGACATGGTCCCCACAGTCTGTCTATGTATTGAAATAGGGCTGGATTCAGTTGTCACTCGTATAGGTCTGGGAGACGACTAAGAGCATCTGCTTCTACATTCTTGCTTCCAGCCAGGAAGCCTGCTTGAATATGAAGGTCGTACTTGTGAGCCACCATCCATATTGATTTCATGATATTTGTCAGGGGCAGACTTGGACCTCCAAGTTGATTTATGTAGCATACTGCAGATATGTTGTCGGACATAATCTTCACAACTTTTCCTTTTAAACTTGGACCAAAGGTGTGCAACGCCATGAGTATGGCTAACATCTCTCTGTTGTTTGGGTGAAGACTGTGGAGGCCAAATTCCTGCTGCCTGTTTCCCGTTGCATACCGCGCCGTAACCTGTCGAACTTGCGTCTGTAACTATTTGCACTTCAGGTTGTCGAATAATTATTCTTTGTCCATTCCAGTTATCAAGAGCAGTAAACCACCACAACATATCCTCCTTAGCTGGCGAATCTAGTGTCAATTTATCGTCCCAACTATTTCTTCTACTAGGAAGTCTGTATGTATTTCTGAGCATTAGTTTCCCTGGGGCAACATCCCGGAACATTGATACACACTGACCAGAGATGCGAGCCAACACTCTGGCCTCAATCCTAGGTAAAGCAAGACAACGCCTTATGTCTTTTTTTCAGTTTCCTAACTGGTGATGATGGGATTCTCAACTGAGCGAATTCTCCGTCTGTGCACACTATGTAACCCAAATAAGACTTGGTGTTGCTTGGCTCTAAGTCAGACTTATCCCAATTGATTAAAAACCCAAGCTTTGAAAGAGTGTTCACTAATTGTTCGTTTTGTGATACGATATGTGCAGGAGTACTCATAAGTAGAATGTCATCTACATAACACACAACTGTCAGTCCAAGAGATCGCAGATACGTAACAACGAGTATTGAGTATTTTACAAAAATAGTACGGAGCTATTGATAAGCCAAATGGGAGAACCTTCCATCGATAAAATGTATTTGACACTGAAACCCAAGATAATCTCTGTCATCTTGGTGTATGGGTATATGATGAAATCCGTTTTTAATGTCAAGTGTAACTAAACTATCACCTGCTTTAACACACTGTTTAACCGTTCTAATGTCCTCACATTGGTATCCCTGTTTTAAACATGTACTGTCAGCTCCCGTAAATCATGTATCAATGGTAATTTCCCCCCTCTTTTTAGGTACAGTTCCAATAGTACCATTTTGGTTTTCGACTGCATATTTCAATTGCTCCCGAACACAACAATGCCCGAATTTCACTTGCCACAAATTGATATTGTTTATAACTGAATTTGTGGTTAGGAAGATGAAAAGTTTGTGGTTCTTTGGTATTTTTACGCCATCATAAACCCATTTACAAACATTATCTGGAGCTCCTATCCCACGCCAGGCATCTTTGTGTCGTTGAATATTACCTGCCTTGAAATGTAGGGTCGTTTTTGGAAAACACATTTAAAACATCAAATGTAAAATACCCAATCGAAATGTTTTAAAGCAGAAACATACAAATATATCTAAATGAACATAAACTAAGACCCTTGCATAAAATATAAAATGAAAAATAAACATAAACATAGAGAAAGAAATTAAAACATATCAGTCTAAGGGAGGTAATCCAACCTCTAACACAAATGGAAATCTAGTACACACAAAACAAGGGAGACTACTTTTGTCACCTTAAACGCTCTCCTGGCAATGTTCAAACGTTTAACAATGTTATACAATGTTATAAAGAATATATTTAATGTCTGACTCCAGTAAAATCAAATTTTCTTCCTTGACCGCTGACATTTTATAACTGGAATTTGTTGCAATGTCTTTCGATATTTATTGTCCCCCTTCATTATCGCGAGTGGTAGGGATGTTTCGACCCGTGAACACGTCTTGTGAAGAACGTGCTTGTCGAAAGTTAAAGTCACCGCGTCCAAATCCACGTGATCTGAATCATCGGCCTCTTGGTCGGAACGGATAGCGTCCACGGTAGGATCCCCGATCTTGCTGTACTGATACTGAAGCTACGGCTGCAGCGTTTCTCAGGTCGTTTATTGCGTCTGGAGTAAAACCAGAGGTATTTCTTCTAAATGTTCTGAACAATCGTGCTGTTTCGGGGTTAACAGCACCACTAACTAAAAGAACAGCATATTCATCTTGTAGATAACGAATATTAGCTAACAGTACAACATAAAGTTCCTGAATATTCTCACTGTCATTTGACTCAATGCTTTGTAATATTTTCAAACCTGTTTCAATATACCGCGCACCCTTTGTTATAATAGAATAGGTTGTTTGGCCCTGGCGTTTTATTCCTCCGCGAGAAGCCTGCAGTTTGTGATCGGCAGCTAGCTTGACACGTTGATAACTGTCCTTGATTACTTGAAATTCAGACTGCACATCAACTGCATTCATCGCATGTTGTCGTGTTGTGCCGATGGCGACTTCAGCGTTGCTAAAATCGGGACTCGGTGAACTCGACGCACCTTGGGGAGCATGTCCGCCATTTTGGGCATTCAATTCCAGAGACTGTTGTATCAATGCGTTGGTATGCTGTTGACTCCGCAATAAACATTCGAGAGTATCTTTATACCTTTCCTTATATCATCTTGATAGCTTTTCTCAGGACAGTGTTGCTTAAAAGACATACTAAACTAGTAAAACCTACTATATTTTTGGTGCAACAGCGTAGGTCGACTCGCTGGCGACGTTGCACCAACAGGAAGTGACGTCAGCAGAAATGATTATTTTGTGGTGTGTACTAACTACTGCTGCATGTCCTACGCTAGAAAGATGCATCATCACGGGGCAGTGATGGAAAGATGACACAGGAACTCTTCCCTACTTTAGTCCCTATTGCCAATGGGTTTGTCGGCAATGTCACAACTTCAATTCATATGCTTATATATGTATAATGATAAAGAAGTTGACATCCATAAATTCTCTTCCTTACGTGTATCACTTCTAAATGCCATTGAAAGACTTATATATGTTGTTAGTTTAAACGCTACGCTTCCCGTAATGCCACGCCAGCTCTCGGTAACAGCTGACCTTCAGACTATATAGGACAGTGTAACGGATGACGTGCTTTATCTCAATCCATCAGGGTCATGTTATCGACATGAGACAAGGTATCTGGTATGCTGGTGAGCTGTGACCTTCATCGACCTGGTTCACCCAATCATGTACCTTGGAGCTGATATGTCCTCAACTGTCACCAGGCAACCAGTGTTATCCCCAGGCAACGTGACATTTTCTTTCACATCTCCAACGCTTTATTCCAGTTTTGAAGTATCAACTTATGTACTAACGTTGGTGAAAGACCAGCAGAAATTCAAGTGCTCTCGGGCTCTCAACTCCCCCATGAGATGCCTACTGTTTTGGCTTGATTGGGAGGGAGACTTGTGATCATTTAAAATCCTATCATGTATTTTATCAACAGATTCCTTAGCGGTGACAATTACTGTCCTTCCTGATCTTGGATCATTTTCGAGATTCTCTCTTTTTTTCTTGAATTCTGCTGTCCACATTGACAAAGTAAGGAGACCATTCCCTAAAGTTGCCATCATGTCAACATGTCGAGATACGTGATGAAAGCACTGAAGCTAATTTTCTCCATCTTCATCAACAGCGAAAGATTTGTCACTTTTAGATATGTAGCCTGTTGTGTATTTGGTTTAAACGAAGCTTGTGAGCATGACGTATGAAGTGTTACTGTATCAAGGGTGTTCTATGCATCCGTCGTTGTTAGGCTCAGAACTGTTCAGCCATCCCTCGAATGATCCCTGTCATCAAACATGTGACCCGAGGAGAGTTATTAGTGCAGGAGGTGATTGAGGGGGGGCTGAAACAATGTTGAATGCATTAGCAACCTGTGGGGGTGTGATGGAGTGAGACTTCAATATATTGCTAGGACATGCGCGAGACAGCCCGGTGTGTGTCTTCTAGCGTCACGAAACACTCAGGTCACGAAAACTCAGAATCATCACAGAATATAAACGTTCAGATCTGTTCCTGTTTCACACTCGACAAGAGTATATCCCCCGCCTTCTCCCTTCCCTCTTACCTACCACACCTCATCCCTTCCACACCTCCCTCTACTCTTCCCTGCCACACCTCCCTCTACTCTTCCCTGCCACACACCCCTCTCCTCTTCCCTGCCACACACTCCTCGGCACTGGCACTCGGCAACAAGGACTGGTCAGTTCGGAGACAGTATAATGTGTCTGAGTGGGGTATTCATGTTAAACTGCGGCATGGTATTTCAATGGGCTAGCAAATCATCAGTACATATTTGCCGGATTGTACACACCAGAGTTTAGGTTGCTCTAGTATTCTACGTACATGCTATATTGTATACATCTGAGGTTACATGTCTTTTGTATTCTACATATATGCTATATTGTATACATCAGAGTTTAGATGTCTCTTGTATTCTACATATATGCCCGAATGTACACACCTGAGTTTAGATGTCTCTTGTATTCTACATATATGCTATATTGTTTACACCAGAGTTTAGATGTCTCTTGTATTCTACATATATGCTATATTGTATACATCAGAGTTTAGATGTCTCTTGTATTCTACATATATGCTATATTGTATACACCAGAGTTTAGATGTCTCTTGTATTCTACATATATGCAATATTGTTTACACCAGAGTTTAGATGTCTCTTGTATTCTACATATATGCTATATTGTATACATCAGAGTTTAGATGTCTCTTGTATTCTACATATATGCCCGAATGTACACACCTGAGTTTAGATGTCTCTTGTATTCTACATATATGCTATATTGTATACATCAGAGTTTAGATGTCTCTTGTATTCTACATATATGCTATATTGTATACATCAGAGTTTAGATGTCTCTTGTATTCTACATATATGCTATATTGTTTACATCAGAGTTTAGGTGGCTCTTGTATTCTACATATATGCTATATTGTATACATCAGAGTTTAGATGTCTCTTGTATTCTACATATATGCTATATTGTATACACCAGAGTTTAGATGTCTCTTGTATTCTACATATATGCTATATTGTTTACACCAGAGTTTAGATGTCTCTTGTATTCTACATATATGCTATATTGTATACATCAGAGTTTAGATGTCTCTTGTATTCTACATATATGCCCGAATGTACACACCTGAGTTTAGATGTCTCTTGTATTCTACATATATGCTATATTGTATACATCAGAGTTTAGATGTCTCTTGTATTCTACATATATGCTATATTGTATACATCAGAGTTTAGATGTCTCTTGTATTCTACATATATGCTATATTGTTTACATCAGAGTTTAGGTGGCTCTTGTATTCTACATATATGCTATATTGTATACACCAGAGTTTAGATGTCTCTTGTATTCTACATATATGCTATATTGTATACATCAGAGTTTAGATGTCTCTTGTATTCTACATATATGCCCGAATGTACACACCTGAGTTTAGATGTCTCTTGTATTCTACATATATGCTATATTGTATACATCAGAGTTTAGATGTCTCTTGTATTCTACATATATGCTATATTGTACACATCAGAGTTTAGATGTCTCTTGTATTCTACATATATGCTATATTGTATACATCAGAGTTTAGATGTCTCTTGTATTCTACATATATGCTATATTGTATACATCAGAGTTTAGATGTCTCTTGTATTCTACATATATGCTATATTGTATACATCAGAGTTTAGATGTCTCTTGTATTCTACATATATGCTATATTGTTTACATCAGAGTTTAGATGTCTCTTGTATTCTCCATATATGCTATATTGTATACATCAGAGTTTGGATGTCTCTTGTATTCTACATATATGCTATATTGTTTACATCAGAGTTTAGATGTCTCTTGTATTCTCCATATATGCTATATTGTATACATCAGAGTTAAATGTCTCTTGTATTCTACATATATGCCCGAATGTACACACCTGAGTTTAGGTGTCTCTTGTATTCTACACTCATGCTATATTGTATACATCAGAGTTTAGATGTCTCTTGTATTCTACATATATGCTATATTGTATACATCAGAGTTTAGGTGGCTCTTGTATTCTACATCTATGCTATATTGGGTGGCTCTTGTATTCTACATACATATTATATTTAACTATCTGAGTTTAGGCGGCAATTGTATTCAACAATTGTGTTATGTTGTGCTGTCAGTATAGCATTTATTGTACATATATGCAATATTGTATTAACGGGATCTTGTGGTCAGTCTCGGTGACTTGGTTGGTGGATGTCGTCGTATCCCAATTGCGTTGAACGATGCTCATGAAGTCAATCACTGGATTGTATGGTCCAGACTCTATTATTTAAAGACCGTCGTCGTATAGCTGGAATATTGCTGTGTGCGGCGTTAAACAACAAACAAACAAACAAACAAACATATACACTGTGTTGTACACATCAGAGTTAGGGTAGCAGGTGTTCTGTGTACTTCAAGAGACATGTCATCAAGGAGAAGGTGTTAGATTAGTATCAGAGTTTGGGTGGCTCTCGTACTCTTGGGATATGCTATACAATACACATCAGAGTTAAGGAGGGTCTTTATATATTCTTTATATATGGTATTTTGTACAAGTCTTTGATGGAATATTGTATTCTACCCACCATGATATTGTTTGAATATTCCTGGAAGTGGCGTAAAACCATACTCACTCACCCTTGTATCCGTCAAAAAGCTCTATGTTTCATATCAGTGAGTGCCTGAGTGAGTTGTGTTTAACGCCGCTTTTAACAGTATTCCAGTTATATCACAGCGTGTCATCTTAATGTGGGAGGAAAGCCCGAAGTGATGCAGGTCTCAGACGTTTACCACTTCGGTGAAACCCACGAGCACGGGTATGGTGCTGACAAACCTAGAAACATAATCGGGGTGAACCGGTATTCGAACCCACAATCATAGGTTTCTGGCGTGTCCAGGGGACGCAACTCTGCGAACGAATCGCGGCGCTTTAGACGACTGGGCCACCCGTGCCCCCTGTTTCATATCAAAGTTTAGATAGCTCTTGTATTCTACATATATGTTGTACATATCTGAGGCCCATTTCCGGTGTCCCCCGCCGTGATATTGTTGGTGTCACAAAACAGAAGATGAAACAGCATTTGCTCTCGGTATGATAATATCTATTGATGTAAAAGATAGCTGACATACAGACACACTTCAATGGCAGTTTTATGAATAATAAAGAACGCTAGACTGACACAAACACCAGATGCGAAAAGTCGTCAGATATGCGTGCAGTATTGCAAGATTAAACATGTTGAAGTTTATGAAATTTGATGATGTTCATCACAGAGTTGACACAGTCACCAAGTCTGCATCTGTTGTTTCCTGTGGAGTCCCCTCTGGAATCCCTACCCATGCATGTTGAATCATTATTCTTCCTTATTGAATCATTACCATTCTTTGTTGAATCCCTACCCTTCCCTATGGAATCCACACCCTTCCTTGTTGAATCCACATCCTTCCCATGTTTCCCCAGCCGACCCCCTCTCCATATACACGTGGGCCACAACAATGTCGTCCTCCACACTGACCAGGTCTTTCACCTGGAGTCGTAGAGCGCGAGCCACCTGGTCAACCGCTTGCCATAGGGCGTGTGCCACCCTTGCTGGCGTTTTGTCTCGTATAGTCGTTTTTGTTTCTCGTCCCATTCCAGCTGTCGCCTCCTTACTCCCTGTTCCATAGCTTCATATCCAGAAGACTCGTCCTGCTTCTGGGCGACAGGCACATTTAGGGTGGCCAAGCTCGGGATGTAAGGCTGAAGGTCCAGTTCCCACTCAAGGCTGTGATCATACGCTGATGGTTCAACGTATCCCGTGATGACGTCACCATCGCTTTCTCTCTTCCCATAACCCACGTGCCAGCCCTGCTGACGTTTGCGGTATGTTGGGCGCCAGCCTTGGAACAGTGTATTGTAGATGTCATTTAGAGACACCTCTCTAGGCGACGCATCGTATTCATTTTGAGAGGCGTAGTCTGCATTCCAGCCCTGTTGCCGTTTACCATAATCCGAGTGCCATCCTTGTTGCCGTTTACCATAATCCGAGTGCCATCCTTGTTGCCGTTTACCATAATCCGAGTGCCATCCTTGCTGCCGTTTTCCGTAGTCAGTGTACCAACCTTGTTGCCGTTTATCGTAAGAGGTGTATCGCTGTCTGCCGTTGTCGACGGGCCAGCTTTGCTGTCGCTTAAGGCCCGGAGCATCTCTCTTCCAGGGCAGCGTCTGGGGGTCGGGGCGGTACAGCAGGTCCCAGATCAGATCCCCGAGTTCTGAGTCGCTGGGGGTGAGGTCCTCGTCACTGTGGCGGAGATATTCGTCGATGAAGTCGTATGAGGGGGAGTAAGCGAGGGGATCACTTCCGCCGTACTCACCTGAAGAAGAAAACACCAAGTTGGGTAAATTGAATGTATGCACTACAAAGGAGAAAAAACATACGAACTATGAAACGAAAAAATTTGCTACACTTCTGTAAGATATATCAAATAACTGGTTATAAGACGGATACAAAATTTGGTTGTGAAATCAAATTGTCATTGGTAGATGTATGTGTGAATTTTGAATTTAATTTAATCTCTCACTATATTAGGAGCGTGGCCAAGGATAACACTTCACATACATGTTATAATGCTGTTCTACAACGTTCCCGTGATTCTGACCAGCTGATCAAGTTGGTAAAGCAACTGATACATGGATCCCCGTGTGGAGCCTTGTCCTTACACCCTTACATTTAGATAGATCCTCGTGTGGAGCCTTGTCCTTACACCCTTACATTTAGATAGATCCTCGTGTGGAGCCTTGTCCTTACACCCTTACATTTACATAGATCCCCGTGTGGAGCCTTGTCCTTACACCCTTACATTTACATAGATCCCCGTGTGGAGCCATGTCCTTACACCCTTACATTTAGATAGATCCTCGTGTGGAGCCTTGTCCTTACACCCTTACATTTAGATAGATCCCCGTGTGGAGCCTTGTCCTTACATCCTTACATTTAGATAGATCCCCGTGTGGAGCCTTGTCCTTACACCCTTACATTTAGATAGATCCTCGTGTGGAGCCTTGTCCTTACACCCTTACATTTAGATATATCCCCGTGTGGAGCCATGTCCTTACACCCTTACATTTAGATAGATCCCCGTGTGGAGCCTTGTCCTTACACCCTTACATTTAGATAGATCCTCGTGTGGAACCTTGTCCTTACACCCTTACATTTAGATAGATCCCCGTGTGGAGTCTGGTCCTTACACCCTTACATTTAGAGGGATCCCCGTGTGGAGCCGTGTCCTTACACCCTTACATTTAGATAGATCCTCGTGTGGAACCTTGTCCTTACACCCTTATATGTAGATAGATCCCCGTGTGGAGCCTTCTCCTTACACCCTTACATTTAGATAGATCCTCGTGTGGAGCCTTGTCCTAACAACCTTAAATTTAGAGGGATCCCCGTGTGGAGCCTTGTCCTTACACCCTTACATTTAGATAGATCCCCGTGTGGAGCCTTGTCCTAACACCCTTACATTTAGATAGATCCCCGTGTGGAGCCTTCTCCTTACACCCTTACATTTAGATAGATCCCCGTGTGGAGCCATGTCCTAACACCCTTACATTTAGATAGATCCCCGTGTGGAGCCTTGTCCTTACACCCTTACATTTAGATAGATCCCCGTGTGGAGCCTTGTCCTTACACCCTTACATTAAGATAGATCCCCGTGTGGAGCCTTGTCCTTACACCCTTATATTTATAGGGATCCTCGTGTGGAGCCATGTCCTTACACCCTTACATTTAGATAGATCCTCGTGTGGGGCCGTGTCCTTACACCCTTACATTTAGATAGATCCCCGTGTGGAGCCTTGTCCTTACACCCTTACATTTAGATAGATCCCCGTGTGGAGCCTTGTCCTTACACCCTTATATGTAGATAGATCCCCGTGTGGAGCCTTGTCCTAACACCTTACATTTAGATATATCCCCGTGTGGAGCCTTGTCCTTACACCCTTACATTTAGATAGATCCTCGTGTGGAGCCTTGTCCTTACACCCTTACATTTAGATAGATCCCCGTGTGGAGCCTTGTCCTTACACCCTTACATTTAGATAGATCCCCGTGTGGAGCCTTGTCCTTACACCCTTATATTTATAGGGATCCTCGTGTGGAGCCTTGTCCTTACACCCTTATATTTATAGGGATCCCCGTGTGGAGCCTTGTCCTTACACCCTTACATTAAGATAGATCCCCGTGTGGAGCCTTGTCCTTACACCCTTACATTTAGATAGATCCCCGTGTGGAGCCTTGTCCTTACACCCTTATATTTATAGGGATCCTCGTGTGGAGCCTTGTCCTTACACCCTTACATTTAGATAGATCCCCGTGTGGAGCCTTGTCCTTACACCCTTACATTTAGATAGATCCCCGTGTGGAGTCTGGTCCTTACACCCTTACATTTAGATAGATCCCCGTGTGGAGCCTTGTCCTTACACCCTTACATTTAGATAGATCCTCGTGTGGAGCCTTGTCCTTACACCCTTACATTTAGATAGATCCCCGTGTGGAGCCTTGTCCTTACACCCTTACATTTAGATAGATCCTCGTGTGGAGCCTTGTCCTTACACCCTTAAATTTAGAGGGATCCCCGTGTGGAGCCTTGTCCTTACACCCTTACATTTAGATAGATCCTCGTGTGGAGCCTTGTCCTAACACCCTTACATTTAGATAGATCCCCGTGTGGAGCCTTCTCCTTACACCCTTACATTTAGATAGATCCCCGTGTGGAGCCATGTCCTAACACCCTTACATTTAGATAGATCCTCGTGTGGAGCCATGTCCTTACACCCTTACATTTAGATAGATCCTCGTGTGGAGCCGTGTCCTTACACCCTTACATTTAGATAGATCCCCGTGTGGAGCCATGTCCTTACACCCTTACATTTAGATAGATCCTCGTGTGGAGCCTTGTCCTTACACCCTTACATTTAGATAGATCCCCGTGTGGAGCCTTGTCCTTACACCCTTACATTAAGATAGATCCTCGTGTGGAGCCTTGTCCTTACACCCTTATATTTATAGGGATCCTCGTGTGGAGCCATGTCCTTACACCCTTACATTTAGATAGATCCTCGTGTGGGGCCGTGTCCTTACACCCTTACATTTAGATAGATCCCCGTGTGGAGCCTTGTCCTTACACCCTTACATTTAGATAGATCCCCGTGTGGAGCCTTGTCCTTACACCCTTATATGTAGATAGATCCCCGTGTGGAGCCTTGTCCTTACACCCTTACATTTAGATAGATCCTCGTGTGAAGCCTTGTCCTAACACCTTACATTTAGATAGATCCCCGTGTGGAGCCTTGTCCTTACACCCTTACATTTAGATAGATCCTCGTGTGGAGCCTTGTCCTTACACCCTTACATTTAGATAGATCCCCGTGTGGAGCCTTGTCCTTACACCCTTACATTTAGATAGATCCCCGTGTGGAGCCTTGTCCTTACCCCCTTACATTTAGATAGATCCCCGTGTGGAGCCTTGTCCTTACACCCTTACATTTAGATAGATCCCCGCGTGGAGCCTTGTCCTTACACCCTTACATTTAGATAGATCCCCGTGTGAAGCCTTGTCCTTACATCCTTACATTTAGATAGATCCCCGTGTGAAGCCTTGTCCATACACCCTTACATTTAGATAGATCCCCGTGTGGAGCCTTGTCCTTACACCCTTACATTTAGATAGATCCCTGTGTGGAGCCTTGTCCTTACATCCTTACATTTAGATAGATCCTCGTGTGGAGCCTTGTCCTTACACCCTTACATTAAGATATATCCCCGTGTGGAGCCTTGTCCTTACACCCTTACATTTAGATAGATCCCCGTGTGGAGCCTTGTCCTTAAACCCTTACATTTAGATAGATCCCCGTGTGGAGCCTTGTCCTTACACCCTTACATTTAGATAGATCCTCGTGTGGAGCCGTGTCCTTACACCCTTACATTTAGATAGATCCTCGTGTGGAGCCTTGTCCTTACACCCTTACATTTAGATAGATCCCCGTGTGGAGCCTTGTCCTTACACCCTTACATTTAGATAGATCCCCGTGTGGAGCCTTGTCCTTACACCCTTACATTTAGATAGATCCCCGTGTGGAGCCTTGTCCTTACACCCTTACATTAAGATAGATCCCCGTGTGGAGCCTTGTCCTTACACCCTTATATTTATAGGGATCCTCGTGTGGAGCCATGTCCTTACACCCTTACATTTAGATAGATCCTCGTGTGGGGCCGTGTCCTTACACCCTTACATTTAGATAGATCCCCGTGTGGAGCCTTGTCCTTACACCCTTACATTTAGATAGATCCCCGTGTGGAGCCTTGTCCTTACACCCTTATATGTAGATAGATCCCCGTGTGGAGCCTTGTCCTAACACCTTACATTTAGATATATCCCCGTGAGGAGCCTTGTCCTTACACCCTTACATTTAGATAGATCCTCGTGTGGAGCCTTGTCCTTACACCCTTACATTTAGATAGATCCCCGTGTGGAGCCTTGTCCTTACACCCTTACATTTAGATAGATCCCCGTGTGGAGCCTTGTCCTTACACCCTTATATTTATAGGGATCCTCGTGTGGAGCCTTGTCCTTACACCCTTATATTTATAGGGATCCCCGTGTGGAGCCTTGTCCTTACACCCTTACATTAAGATAGATCCCCGTGTGGAGCCTTGTCCTTACACCCTTACATTTAGATAGATCCCCGTGTGGAGCCTTGTCCTTACACCCTTATATTTATAGGGATCCTCGTGTGGAGCCTTGTCCTTACACCCTTACATTTAGATAGATCCCCGTGTGGAGCCTTGTCCTTACACCCTTACATTTAGATAGATCCCCGTGTGGAGTCTGGTCCTTACACCCTTACATTTAGATAGATCCCCGTGTGGAGCCTTGTCCTTACACCCTTACATTTAGATAGATCCTCGTGTGGAGCCTTGTCCTTACACCCTTACATTTAGATAGATCCCCGTGTGGAGCCTTGTCCTTACACCCTTACATTTAGATAGATCCTCGTGTGGAGCCTTGTCCTTACACCCTTAAATTTAGAGGGATCCCCGTGTGGAGCCTTGTCCTTACACCCTTACATTTAGATAGATCCTCGTGTGGAGCCTTGTCCTAACACCCTTACATTTAGATAGATCCCCGTGTGGAGCCTTCTCCTTACACCCTTACATTTAGATAGATCCCCGTGTGGAGCCATGTCCTAACACCCTTACATTTAGATAGATCCTCGTGTGGAGCCTTCTCCTTACACCCTTACATTTAGATAGATCCCCGTGTGGAGCCATGTCCTTACACCCTTACATTTAGATAGATCCTCGTGTGGAGCCGTG